GAATTTCCTGAATGTATTCTGTGGACAGTGGTAATTAGAAAATGTTGCTCGTCTACACTTGTTGTTGTTGTTGTTGTTTCTTAGAAGTGATGCAAATTGCTGTTGCATTCTGTATTATTGTTTTGACCCCTTTGCAAAGGCAAATTAAAACCTCACAAAGACAACATGTTTATGTGTAGATCATTTGTTTTAAATTTCTATAACACCACAGAGGTACAGTCTGAATGGATGCACCCCATAAGGCTAACTGCATATTGAGCCACAAGGTAATTAATTATGTGTAACTATTTCATCTTTCATAGCTTGCATATGTTCCTCAGCAGTACAAAAGGCATATTTATGCTGTTTCTTATATCAGCGCAGAGCTGCAGAGAATAGTGCTTCCATGTCACAGATTTGGAATTTGAATCTTACTGGTTGGCTTTCTCCAGGTTCCTCCCATGTGGCACCTGTCATTTAGGTTAATTGATTAAATTACCTAAATGACAGGTTAAAATATTTTAATTAGGTTAAAAGATTCTAAATTGACTGTAGGCGCAGATGTGAGTCTGATAAAACCTTTGAGTGGTCAGTGAGACTAGACAGCAAATGAAACTTTTAAGTGCTCTGTGCTGCATTAAGGTGCAAAATTGTAGCAAGGCTTTCAAAGCTGGTACACAGGCACAAATCCTTGCCATCAAGGATATGATCGCAGTATCTTAGAGGGTACCTCTCCAGCAGAAGGTGTTTTATTTTGAAAAATATATTTTCCTAAGAGTCTATTGTGGGCTTTGTCCACCTACTTTTATATTAGAATCATGTTGGAAGGGGTTCATAGAATGTGTTCTCATCCCAAGGTGGCAAATACCTGAATTCTGAAAGTTTCTTGTTTTGTTTAAATATGATAACAAAAGTTTGTTGTTTTACTTTTTTTACTTTATCTGTGAGGACGTTTAACTGGTCTCAGAATTACCGTTAGGTCATGGCATTGACTTCAAAGGGAATCTCACTGTATCACTGAGATACCTGCAGTTTTTCTTTAGAACAGGTTGGCAGAGAGAGGGACAATTAAATAATCCAGTCTTTGAAACTCTGTGGCACATTGCACCCCTGTAGCACAACAGTTTCTTACTTTCATTCTTTGATCGACAATACATGCTAAGCTAGGCTAATTAGCTGCTGACTGTAAATTTACTGTTCATCAGTGGGGGGATACAGGTTGGCATGTTGTGTATAGTTTAAAGGTTAAAAACGTGCCAAAGGAAAGTGACCAACAAAATATAATTGGAACTGACTACAAAATCAAACATATATCCATGTGTCTAGAGACAGAGGGCGCAAAACAGAAAGGAAAGGTAAAAATTAAAAATGTGTTCCAAAGAGGTCACAACCTGTTTATGAGAGTTGTGACCTCTTCTCTTACCTTCTCAATTGATTTAGTTGATTTGGAGTGGTCATCCATGCTGATTCGATTCAGTTAAAAAAAACATGTAAAAAGGCCAACGTGAATCTTACCAAGCTCTAAGCCAAAAGAGGTCCACTGACAACTTCAATCCATACCTTCTAACACACCATGTTTTTATGGGTGTTTGCAATGTAATTTGCCTCCATATTCCATGCAAACATACAGTAACATTTCTGAAATAAGTTACATTACTTTGATGAGGTAACCAAACCAGTTATATTACATCATTTTATCTTAACGCTCCATCCATACTTGTAGAGCTGAGCCCTGAGAAGAAATGCAGTGTAAGGCCACACACAGCGAGGCATCATTCAGAGAAATCAGACGTGATAATCCCTGACCTTTCACGTCAGATTTTCTCTGATGGCTCCATTTGATAAAAACTTTACAAAGGCAAAGTTAATCAAATCTTCATGGATTAGAATGATTAAAGTTTAATCATGTGACCCATTAAAACGTCATATACATCAAAGAGAAAAGAGGATAAAAAAACATGAAAGGATTAAAGGGAAAACCTTGTCAAAGCCAGTGGCTTTGCAACACAGTGGGGAAACACTGTATGTCACCCTTAACCAAAACTTTAATAGACTAAAACCAACAAACTTTATACATCAAAGGTAACAAGTCTAAATTTTTTCATTTTGTTTCTGTTGACACCAAAATCAGGTCGAGATTTTCGCTTCATAAAAGTACAAGTCTTATCAAATATTTCACAACATGTGGAAATGGAAGGAAAACTGCTTCACTAAAGGCTAAAAAAGCCAGATTTCGTTCAGCTTACATGTTGCAACAGTTTTCTGTTTTCTGCCCTTTCACCACTCAAACTGAATGTGTGAACCGACTGAGTGTCCATTTATCTGGCAACAGATTCGACTCAGGCAGCTGAGTCTGTGTCAAGTGTCTGTGAGAATCGCACATTACAGCCACATCTCTGCAGGATGCTGCAGAGCAGATACACAGCCTTCAAAAATAAAAATGCTCCGCCAGGCTTACAACAACAGTCGGTTAAATGCAATTAAATGCAATCGGGAAATATGTATGCCATACAAAACCTGCACTGATTTATATTTTGGAATTTTGCTATTATTATTGTTATTGTTAGTACTATTATTATTATTATTGTTCTTGTTGTTGTTGGTATCGTTACTACTAATAATAATAATAATGTTACAACATTTATTGTTGAAACTTGAACATTGTTTTCTTTTACTTAATCCAGATAAATGTATACTCATTCACCTTGGTAGTGAAAATTATTTAAAAATGTCAAATTAACGGTCATTTTTAGTTTTACTACCTGGTTAATAATTTTTTACAACATTATTTTGATGGTTGTATTAAGTTTTAAATGATTTTAATAGTGGGTTCAAAAGCTGTTTAAGAAAGTAGGCACCATGAGTGGCAACGTTTCCAGTTCTTGTTCAGTCACCAAAATTGAGTCCTTTTAAGGAAAGATTGTGCTTAAAATACAAAATGCTACCCCAAGAGTATACCTGTGACACTGCATCTCTGAAGCTGTTTTTCCATTCTCTGCACATCTTTCAGTCAGAAGCAGAGTATTTAGTCCGCATGGGGTCTTTTATTTTGAAATTTAAATAGCTGTTCTATGCCATTCTTGTATCTGACTTCCTGGTTTCTTTATCTGCTCCATGCAGCTTGATGGGTTTGCATTAAGAGATGGATACAGCACTATCTGTGTTGCAAGGAACCACTTCTGGGACACTTCTGAAATCCACATCTTGCGGATCAGAAAACATGATATTCCTAAAGCAAGAGCGGTGAAAATTCTCACTCCTGCTGTAACACATGTATCCTGGGATGATGATAAAGGACCTTGTGGAGCCAACTTCAGCAAAACACCAGCATTTGATGTCCCGGTAATGAGGATGGGCTCAGTTGATTGGTAATAAAATCTTCATTACAGACTACTATATAATTCGTAATCAAATGATCACATTTGGCATTTTTCCTTCTTTATAACTTCATTTCAGTTATATTTTATTTGTTTTGTACTTATAAGTTTTGTCTGTTCTGACAAAGCTATTGTAAGTTTTTATTCATATTTGTGTAATTCTTAAAAGTTGAGTTGTGAATGTGGCTTTCTGTGTCACTGTGTGCGTTTATGAAAGAGCAGTTTAGCTGAGAGTCAATACATGTACTTTGAAATGCAAAGTACATGTGATTATCCCTCTGAAGGTCGACGCTTCGGCTGCACGGAGCCCCCGCTGGGAACGAGCGCGGGAACACTTCACCAGTTCGACTCAAAGTGGTGTTTAACCGCGGAGAGCGTGAGCTAACACGAGCTGTAATCTGAGTGATGAAGTGGACGGCGTATGGACTCGTATAATTGGATGATGTGGAGTGTACGGACCATCAGCGGCTGACAGACTCCCTGCAGACCGCGGAGAAGCTGCTCCCTCTCAGCCCGGAGACGTGTTATTAAATTCACATATATTCATTACATCACATTTCATTTTAAAATGAGACATCCAGGACTGGGAGGAAATGAACAAGAATTACTACCTGACAGAGTGATGACTGTAGGAAAAGTATAACTCACCGCTAAGTAAAAACTGCTGGTGCAGCACCTAACCATAAAAGGACTGGAAATCTAAACCAGTCCACTTAACTGTGATAATACAAACATTTGAAATATGCATCATGTATTATACATGTTTACAATCAACACATTATGCCAAAATATTGCAACGCAACAAGATAAATGAAATCAACTTAGTCTCAAAAGTTCTTTAAGCCAATGAACAGTTATCAGTGAGCCAGTCGATCAATAGATCTAAAATCATGTGTTTGGAGGGCATCATTGTTCCATCAGTTACCTGGGAGCACACGGAGCTCTGCGTCCGTCCCCGTCCTGGTGCTGCTGGGGTTATCAGCCAGACAGCGGTATGTAGCCGAGTCCGGGGGCTGGACTCGGCTGACCTGCAGCGAACCTGATGGCAGCACAGCGAGACGGGAGTCAGGTTCAAAGGTCAGTGGCAAGTCCTCTCGGTTCTTCTGCCAGCGGATGACAGGTGTTGGGTCACCTGAAACCTCGCAGCGGAGCAGGGCAGTATCGCCGAGGTACGATGAGACGGACTCAGTGGGGACGACCACTTTGAGTGGACCTGTTGGGAAATGAGTTTTGTGAGTAAGAGAAGTATTGACAACAAGTCATTTAGTGTAAATATATACACACAAAATGGGTTTTGTTGAAAACTGTGTGTGAGAGTATTCAGTTTTCTCTGCATGGAATTATCTCTTAGGCTCACCCAGAAGAAAACAAAAGATAGAGAAAATAATCAGCAGCTTCAGGTTTTGTACACTTCAAATCAGAACTGTGTAAGCAGATACTACAAGGGGAAAAGCTCCCCTGAACTGTGTACACTGCAATAAATCACTTTGTTCTTTTGTATAATGTATCTAACTTCCATCATCTTGGATTTTAGTTTTTGCTGCTTCAGTGACCTTGGACTACTGACGATGAACCAGTACTCTGGTTAGAGTGCCTATCCAACTCCTAGCAGCTCTCCATATCAGTAGAAGAACTACTCCACCAGCTGCAATCAAACATGGTGGTCTTCAGACATTCAACTGCTGGACCAGAGAGGATCTCCACAGAAATAACTAACAAGCAAGCCAGAAAGCACAAGACACAAAGCACCACTAACTGGTTAGAATACAGAGACCACAAATAAATCGATGAGGATGTCATAGTCACACAGGAAAAAAAATATATAAATGCTTAAATTAGTTATTAAATATGCCTAAAAACTATCATTTGCAAACAGTGCAGTCCAATACTTTTAATGCTGTCTTTGTGGGAGAGAATATAAATAGCAAGCCGCTCTAGGTCATTTGGCACCGAGTCAGCATAAAGAAATTAAAAAGCAGTTGCAGCATCCCAGGTCACCTTTATGGATTATGCTGCAGTGCAAAGTTTCATCCTATGGTACATGCTTAAGTTCAGATAATCTAGAAGTATGGGGATGGCCACTTCTATTATGTTGCATTTGTACTTTGATTATTAAGAATGTGCAGTGTGGTTTCAAGAGTATGATTGGAAACAGTGTAAAGATAGCAAAGAACCACTGTGGCTGGAAGTAGAGATTAAGTAGTTAACTTCCAATGAGTGACCGTCGCTCCAGCACCACCACTGCTTGTCATTAACGTTGTTCTTCCTGTTCAACAGGAGTTCGTCCTTCCCACTATTGCCTGTGTCTCTCTCTCTAGTATTGTACTTTGCTTTCAATATAAAGCATCCTGAGCTCCTGGTTGTCGTTAATTAGTGTTCTATAAAGTTCAATCAAACTGAATCAAGCAGGTCTTGTTTGGTCAGTTTGTGGTTTTTAATCACCTACGTTGTCAAAGTAACCAGATGAAAAGCCTGTGTAGTCTAAATGCGACATGAAAACATTACCGTTAATACCCACAGCCTCTGCGTGAGAAACAAAAGACACAAGCAGCAGAGGTGAAGAAGAAGGGAGCTGACAGCAAAGGTTTCTCAGGTCAACAGGGAGAAAATAATAAAGACAAAGATGGAGCAGAAGAAGCAGCGAAACTCAGCGGGTGAAAATGTGAAAAACTCCAGAGAGAGTTAGACTGGGACCAGCGGGAGGACAGATGAAAGTCAGACAAGAGACAGAGAGACAGGGACAGCGCGGCCAACCAACGTAGGGCCTGCTGTGTTCAGGACCCACACAGTTTCCCGTCTGATCAGATTCCCTTCAACAACAAACAGCCTGTAGCAACAGAAACACAGGAATGTTCTGACTGCCGGCCTCGCTCGGCTCTTGCAGGGCATTTTATTATCTGAAGCTCTAGTGCAGTTGTGTTTTAATTTCAACATGGCTGCAGGGAGCTCTGAGTAGATTAAGAAGAAGGTGCAGGAATGTCAGGAATTCAATGAAGAGCAGTGTTGTTTTCCTCTCTATTCTCTCTGAGAATGTAATGCGGATTAATTGATTAAATGAGAATCTGAGCTTTTTGACATACAGTTCATTCAGGTCTTCGCGTGGGCTCATTTTTTTCTCCTCCTCAAAGACACAGCTGTGAATATTGTATTCCTGACATATTCCACTTTATTCATCCACTTTAGTACTTGTGTGCAACATCTCTGCTGGTTCCATGTCAACAAGTCTCCAAGGGAAGTCAGTATTCGAGGCAAAAGGTAGGAAATATTGTGATTATGATAAGATTAGACACCTACATAAATCTCAGAGGGGAAGAGGTTTGGTCATCCATGCACTGTGACAAAATAAACAAGCAAGGCAGATCTCAACAACCACATGCTGCCTGAGCAGAGGTGTACATCCACCTGGATTTATAGTGTCTTTATGATGTAAACTCTGATATATTTAAGCTATATTCACACCACAAAGCCGTTTACAAAACCCTCACTAAGAGTGGACTAATATCCAGCATTCAAATTAGCTCTTTTTTTCTGTTTCATAAATTAAGTAGGAAAATTTGTCTTTATTTATCCCGTCGATGTTGGGACCAGTGGAGCAGCTGTGCTTGGTTACCAGTACAGGTGTGAGCTAGTACACTGGTCAAGGGTGACATGAATTTTAAGCTAACATTGGTGCAGGAAGTAAACCATGCAAGAACGGGAAGAATATGCAAGCAGAAGGATGATCAGCGTTTGAGAAAATCGCTTCAATTGGTAACACAGTACAAACAGAAAACGGCTGTTACATCATGATAGAGTCCGTTTTCCACGTGTGTGCACACATGTGTACACCTGTAATACGTGCAGGTTTTGGTTAGAGAGACAATCAAGGTTATCAGAGGATAAAAAGAACTACCAACACAAGCTGCAGTCCAAAATGGTAGAGCTGGAATACCTCTGAGGAAACCCACGGAGATGCAGCTGAATAACAAGCACCATGACAATAGGGACACAGCAGGTGAGCTAGCTTGTAGGGGAAGAGAAGAAAGGAAGTGCCTGGGCTTGTTATTAGCAGCAACTGAAATGTCAAAATAAGAGCAAGTGGACTGCTGAGTAATAAATTAGTGGCTCAGGATGTCATTCTCTCAGATGGGTATTATCTGCATCCAAATATATCTGGGCCTGTCTGAGTAAATTCACTACTGATATTTAGATTTGTATATGTTGTTTTTGTTATTTCCTTTTAATTCTTTTAGTTTGTGATCACACAAAATGTATAAAACTAATGAAATTAGCATAGCAGTGTCTCTAAAATCAGTTTTAAATGTATCGTTTGATGGCTAACAAGGCCTAGTTCAGGGCCTAGTTTTTTAAGTCAGTTTTCTGGCATCCCAACTGCTGAGCTTCCAACATACATATATACATTCAACCATTTACTTTCCTTAATTTCTCAAAATGTGATGTCTTGTAGGTGCATTTTAACAAGTTTAAAATAACATTTTGGAGAAAGATCACCTGCTTCATGTAGAAAAAGTTTGATAGACAAGCAATGTTTATTTTCTTGAGTTTTAAGCAAGTTTCGAAAATCCCAGGAGCCCTACATTTCTGTCAGCATACAAATACTCTGAAATATTTTCATCTGGAAAAGAGAGAAAACGCAGTTTGGGGTCTGATTTTCTTGCGGTTTGTGTTTTTGTTTCATGCTGGTTTGAATCGGTTTATGCTTCCTCCATTTTACCTCGACACACAAACAGCCGGGAAACCTGAACTCGGAAACAAACGTCAGCTTTCTTCTCTTTCTGTTCTGAGACATTAAAGAAGCTCCAGTTTGACTCTCGCATCGTCAGACGAGCCGCCGCTGGATACAGGGTTTCACAGCGGCGGGGACTTGAGCGGCTGTGACATCACGCATATCGGAGACGACGGTAACACTGATGTGAATTTGGAGTGTGCATCTTACATAAGTTCTGCTGCTGTCTTCTCCTATATGGATCACTATGCTGCCTGCAGCTGGAAGAAATGGCACACACACACAGATTTTTGTTTTTGTTACTTGCTAGGACTCATTCCTGGAGGCCTAACCAATCCTGCTACCTGTCTAACCCACAAACATTAAAGCAACATATAAGATGGAAAACAGTATTTTCTATTGTACTGTTTGGTCAAAGGTTAATGCTGAGCATTAAAAAAACCTGAGCCCTCATCAGGTGACTTTTGCATTTTTATTCATTTTGCTTATTTAGCCACAACTACAATAGAATAATGTACAAGTAGGACTCGTGGGAACAGTATGAAGATTTAAGCTGACAGCAAGCCTTTGGCTTTTTTCATTGCCAGGACATATGAATATAATTTCACAAAATAAATACTGCTGTCAATCTAATTCTAGACGTAAAACACAATGATGCTGTGCACATAAAGCACAATAAAAATGAGATTCAAGGATTCATTTACAGGGTAAAATTCAGCCTACTCCACAGCCTGTGTGGACATCTGGACTGATTAGAATAGGAGTGTTTTCTCTTCCACCAGACACTCATGAGGCGACCGTGGCTGAAAAGATGTCTGTCCAGACAGAGCTTCATATTTAATCAGCTGTTGTGCCGGCTGACTGCAGTTTACGCTGGCTGGAGAATCAGTCATCCATTTTAAACCTAATAGGCAAAATTATGATTTGGGACATGTTTTGCTGCATAGCTGTTATATTCATGAACAAGGCCAACAAGTGGAGGTTTCTAAGATGCAGCTGTGTAAACTTTAAGGTCTGTTATGCGTGAGGCATTTAACTCCACTCATTAAATATGTGGCCCAGGGGGACAAAACTGGCCTGTCAGATCAGTATGACTGGATGGGTTTGAAAGGACTGAAAATGGAAGAGAAGTTAACACTAACTCCAAATTTACCAATAAGATTTTCTCCTACCTTGTAACTGACTGATGCAAATGACCTCTTCTGTTCAAATAAAGATGTGTGAATTGATTTGTCATGTATAATCATGGTTAATTAGCCGACAAATATAAATTTAATCAACTGAAATTTACAGGATGATGAGTACACTGAACGTATTTTTTGCTTTAGAAGTTTACTATTACAAATCTATGAGTAAGTCTCCATGCTTAATTGTTAATACTTGATTTCTCTAATTCAATGGAAAAGTGCAAAAACTTAAAGGATCATTAAAGTTCAGGTCATGTCACTCGTCCTCCTTCAGTACTTTGCACTCTAAAAAAATATTAG